ATAATTATCAAATTTTCCAAGTGGCCAAAGGGCACAGATCTCCAAAACAACAGTGTGTCCACTGGTGAAGTTGGACTGCATCACAACACCCACAAGCTTGAATGTGTGCACTCTTCCAACTATCTCTTGTTCAAAGTAAATGGGTGTTTTCCTTCAGAAAGGCAAGTCAGCCTACATCTGGTTTTGACTTCAGGACGTGAAAGATTAACCTTATTACATTTCCCACACAGCTTCTAATATGTAACATTTTTTACAACTGGTCCTGCTGATACTATTTAGTGAAATGGATTGTGCTGAAGATATTGTGGAGAAGGCACAAGTCTGTAGTTACTCTTTTTAGAGTAGCAGCCACTTGCAGCTACTGTTGGACAATGCTAAGGTAGACAAACTCCTTATGCCTCATACAAACTCAAGAAGGAAAAAATATTATTCCAAATAGTGCCTCAATTTTTGTGGTGCGTCAATAACGTGGATCTTTAATGGGACGATAAATTACCTGGGGTTTAAGCCCTCCTTCAGCATCTAGGGCAGCTCCATCCCACCAACCCTTCTAGTCCTTATAGCTGATATTATTACTGTTTACCAGCTCTTATATAACTTGTTTCTGCCCTACTCACATGCATCACTGATTTCAATCTCAGAAAGAAAAGGGGAAACAAGAATAATATATAAAAATAGAAACAAAAGGTAAACACCCTTTGGTACCGGGGAACATGGAAATGACATGAGCTCCGTGTAAAACCTTGCACATGTAGTGACAGCATCCAGTGCTGGCAGCAGAATGAAGTATTGGGACCACACAAAGAAAGAATTAAGGCAGGCACGTTTCCTCGATAAAAACACCCTACTAAAAAAAGGAGTGTGTGTGTGTGCATATATACATATAAAAGTATATAAAAAGAACTACCACCGCTGTCTGAGGAGGAACACGTCAGGGAGCGCACTGGGGCTGACGCGTTATTGAGTAAGGACCCCTCCAAGGGTCTTCATGTACCCCGCCATCCCTTTGTCCGTGCCTGCTGCCGCGGGGAGCGGCGGGCGCTGCCATCGGCGGGCGGGTCGCGGTGCCCACACGCCGTCACTCGCCGCTCCGGGGCAAAAACAAACGCGGCTGGAACAACAAAAGGCCGCGGTCGCGGCGGCCGGACCTCGCCGCCGGAGCGCAGAGCGGCCGGGCACGTCCCCGGTGCCGCCGTCCCCCGCTCCGTTCCCACAGGGCTGTCCCCGCCCGCCCCCCGGCAGCTGCCATGTGTCTGCTCGAGTGCGATTAACACCGACTCGCCAAATCCCCCCCACGCCCGCTTCCCCTCCCCGGGCCATTTGGGGCATACACGCGCCCCGTGTTTACACGGCGGCGCCTTCGCGCGGAGCCTCGCTGTGGATGGCGCTGGCAGATGAGCCGGGGGAGGTGGGGGCTCCGCGCCGCGCAGCGCCCGCCGCCGGCTATAAAAGCCTCCGGGCCCGCGGGCGGCAGCGCCAGGAGAGCGGCCGCGAACCGGCGGAGGATGGAGGGCGACTGCCCCCGCCCGCTGTCGGCGGCGCTGCCCCCGCAGGGCTACTCGCCCCTCTCCTCCTCCCGGTGCGGGGGGCGGCCCGATCCGGCCCTGCCCTCGCCCCGCAGCTCCGCGCCCTTCTGGAGACCGTGGGTGCCCGCGCCGGGTGAGGCGGCCCGGCGGAGCGGCCCCGGCCCCGCTGCGGTGAGTGGGACGCGGCGTGGCGGAGCATCTGCCGCCGGCACTGCCGCGCACACGGCTGGGGAGTCGCGGCGGGGCAGGGATGCTCGGGTAGGGCCCGGTGCCGTGCCGGCGGGCTGACCTGTGCTCTCTCCTCCGCAGCCTCACAGCCCCGGCGGGCTGGCGGGAGGCTCCCGAAAGCTGGCGCAGTACACACACCCCGTCAGGTAAGTGACAGTCCCCGGCCGCCGCCAGGGACCTCGGGGCACCAGGGGCCCGTGGCGCTGCGCGGACACGAGGGAGTCCCTTGCTCGCTAGGGTAGTGTCTTAGCATTAGCTCTCCCGCCCCTTTTGTTTCCAGCCATATATTTATGCAGATAATTAAGTGCCTTGGGAGTGAATTGGCTTTTGAACTGACAGATCCTTGGGCAAATGATTACCAGGACTCGTGGATTTAACATGTTTGAGTTGATGTGCCTCTGTGGTATGAGACATATGACCTATTACACAGTTATGTGGGTATTTTTTGGTAGTGGTGGAGTTGGCGGAAGCACCTTGTTACTCATTCCTGTGCCCAGGACTAAAAAAGGCACGGGGCTGTAGTTCCTATGCTGTGTTGCTGTGCAAACATCTAGCGCCCTCCCAGAGCAAAGAAGCAGGTGGAGACGTGGGAAAGAGCAGCAGGAAGAGAGGGTATGCACTGGCTAAGCCACCACTGCCGAGGAAAATACTTGTGTAACTGCTACTTCAATGATAAAGGTAATAATAGTATCTGGACTGTCAGTTGTGAAAAGGAAATAAAGAAAATAACAGTTGAATCTGTATGAAAGTCAGTATTCAGAAATGCTGGTTTTATGCAAGATTACAAGATGCTTCATATAATTGCACAGGTAGTTTTTACAGATAAGATGTGGTTTGCTTTCAAATCTAGACTCTGATCCTGCAAATACTGATGCACTAAGCAACTGTACAGGTAGACTTCTCTGTGTCTGCTCCAATGCTTAGGTTTGAGTGAATGCTATTGCAGGGAACACTGGGAATGGAGACCTGTTACTAAGCTAATGTCAGTGACTTTGTGATGCCAAGGAAGCAGTGTTCTGTTAAAAAGTACCTTAAAAAGTATTTATTGTAATTGCTAGAAAGCCATCTAGTTGTTTCTTGATGCATTTCTATTTCAAACAATCTGTAGTCAGCATTTCATTATGTTGTAGTGTTCTAGTCTCTTGGCTCTTGGGACTAACATGGTCTGTTCCTTCTAGCAATTTCAAAAACGGAAGCAAAAGAGAAAAGGAACAGGAACTTGGAGTATATTAATTGCAATATATTATCATTAGCTGATAGCCCATGGTACCTGTGATCTTACCAGCCTATTTTGTTAATTTCTGGATACAACACAAAGACTGCTTTAAAATCAACATCTGTGGGACATCTTCCTTCTGTTAATTGTTCCGGGAAAGACAGATGAAATATCAAGGCCTGATCACCTCTAGACCTTTATCATACCTTTGCATTTTAGAATGGTGTGAAACAAGTATCAACATCTTCCTAGGCTGGGGACCTTCAGTAAGAAAATTATTAATTTGATTCAAATGTATTTTTGATCCTGTTTGACAGCCATTCTATTCCCTAGGAATAGTACCAGTAGGGGCAGTGCTACTTGGATCAGATCTCCAGGTAGTGCTGTTAATGAGAGACTGGAATGGGAAGTTTCAGATGCAGGGTCTTGGGCTTTTGTAGTTTTGCTGCAAAACTAGCACTCTAAATGCATCTTTATCTCTTCAGATGAAAATAAGAACCCAGAGATTTTTTTTTTTTTTCCTAATTAACTGTAGAAAGCTATTGAGCATGTAAGGAAAAGCTCTGTAGGATGTTTTTTTTAATAGAATTTAATTTTGTTTTTTTGCATGTCAGCCTCCATGTAAAGTATGTAATAACAATAAGAAAATCTATTATATACTTGTTTCAGACTATTTTGGCCCAAATCACGGTGCTATGATTACTTGTATCAGGAAGCTGAAGCACTTCTGAAAAACTTCCCAGTTCAGGCTACAATTTCCTTTTATGAAGACTCAGATAGTGAAGATGATGAAGATGAACTGGAACAAGATTCAAGAACAGAATCAGGTTGCTGACTGCAGGGAAGGCCAATGCCACTTCTAAGACTTAATTTAAACTTAATATAAATATGTATTATAGTATTTTTAAAGATAATTTATTTCTATGTAAGTTATTCTTAATAAAACTGAGATGTCTTGTAATTTTATCCTTTTTCCTTTGTTCTGTTCCTGGTTTAAGAGGGGATGGTATTGATTATTATTTTTATATCTGAGGTCTTATAGTTTGTAGATCGTAAGTTGAACATCAATTTTTGAAGCAGAGAACAGATGCCTTACTTTGAAGGGCTCTATGGTTATGTGACTTTGTCAAAGTCTGAAGACACAAGGAAAGTTTGTCATTGTGATTTAGTAAGCTCCATATGGAAGAGTATCAAGGAATCATTGGATTAAGTATTGCAGTTGTGTTGTGCCTGCTGTTACAGAATTTCAAATATAGAGAAGAGAAACAATATAGCTGCTTTTGTAATGGAGGAGAGTCCAAATTCGAATCTAGTTCTTGCTGTATAGAAGAGTTTGCCTTACGTCACTCGTGCTTTCATATATATGTGCTGTGTTGTTATACGTAAGTGATAGTTTCATACTGCATTTGTAAAGTGGACATCAAGAAATAGAAAAAGGTCTAGTGGAGTTGTTACAATAGTGAGCTTGGTTTTAATAATTGAAACAAAGTTTGGTACCAATCATTGTGAAGGCCAAAGCCCCTAAAAGAACAACAAAACAAATCCAAAGCTTTAAGTTGAAGGCCAATGCCTCTGTCAGGCAGCGCCTGTGTACTTACCTGCATCTGCCCTTGCCTGCGTGCTGTGTGTGCTGCTGCTCAGTGTACCAGCACCAGCCAGGGACTGCTTGCCCCGTACCATGCGCTCCCAGCGGCCCTGCTGCAGGACGGAAGCGAGCCCTCACCCAGAGCCTTCTCACACTTAACCCTCGGAGTGTGGCAGCGGTGCCTGCCACAACCTTCCAGCCTAAGCACCTGGCGCTGGGACACCCGGACGGAAAACCTAGAGCAGGGGCAGGCACTCCCCCTCGCACCGGGGGCCACAAGGCGGCGGCCGGGGTACGCACCGCTCCCTGCCTCAGGGATGTCCGCTCCCGGGCGCTCTCCCCCTCACCGGCCCCGAGCCGAAGCTGCGGGCGCTGCTGCCGGCCGGGCTGCGGCCCCGCCCGCCGCGGCGGAGCCTGCGCGCTGTGCCCCAGCTCTCGGCCGGGGCCCGGCTGCGGCCCGGCCCGGCACCATGCTGAACGTGACGCCGCCGGCCTTCCCCGCGCCCGGCTCCCAGCAGCGAGCGGCAGCGGGTGCCCGCAGCAAGGTAGGGGCGGCTCTGCCGCTGGTGGTCGCTTGGGGGGAGGTGAAGGGCGCTCCCGTTTTTCCCGCCGCGCCGGCGGCGGCTGCCTGGCCTGGCCTGGCCCCGCCCGGCCGAGCTGCGGTGGTTCCCGGTCGGTTCCCAGCTGCCGCTGGGGCAGGGCTGCCACCGACCGCCCCCCTCCGGCGCCCGCCGAGGGGCCTCGGCAGGATCTCGGGCGAGGGGCCGGCTCGGCTGCGTCGCTGGAAAGCGCTTGGGACTTCCCGTTTGAGAGGACGGCGGTGATAATGCTTCCGGCACCTCCTGCCCCGGCGGTTCTTCCTGTGCAGAGGTGGAGGCTTTCACCTTGGAATTACTGCATGCAGCTTATGCTTTATGTGTTGGATCTTCATCTTTGGAGGGGCTTTGAGAATATTTGTTGTCTAGAGACTTTGCTCGGAAAGCAGACTTGGAGTAAAGTCTCATTAAGCAGTGTGGGTGCTGTAGTTTATATATATGCTTTCGGTTTTTTGCTTCTGTTTTTCCGGTGGTTTTGTAAGACTGCAGTTCTTTAACCCTGTTTCCTGCTGTTGAAATTTGGATCAAAAGGGTTCCCAGACTGTGCTGGTGTTGAAAAGGAAGGTGTTAGATACCCTGAAGATCTCACTCTGCCTTTCAGGACAGGCAGGCCATGGCAATACTTCTCTGGAAAGACTTCTGTCAACTTTCTCTAGATGAGGCTGCAGTTGCTGTAGGGCTTGTAGTCTTTATGAATGCTGTGAAGGCAAAACTTGTCTTACCTGGTCATGATTTTTAAATCTCATTTCTTTATTGCTCATAGTTTTCTAGACCATATCTTAAATGATTTACTACCCCAGGCAGACTTAGTGTCTTCAGTTTGCTTTGGGAAGAGTCATCTGAATGTTTGTTTGAGTTCAGTAATTTCTGTGTCACTATCCAGAACATTCCCTTAAGCACCCTTACTACTGAGTAGGGCTCCCAGATATCAGTGAATAATATGAGTTAGGTTATTTCTCTTTTATTTTGTCTGAGCCTTCCTATGGAGCTTAGAAAAGTGTATTCTTAAAATGGCTTTTTCTTCTTTTAGAGTTTGAAGTTGTTTGTACATTTGTTATTTTTCAGGTACCTTTAAAACCAGGAAGGAGTCTTATGGATTGGATTCGGCTGACTAAAAGCGGGAAGGACTTGACTGGTTTGAAAGGGAGGCTGATTGAAGTGACTGAAGATGAGCTCTCTAAACACAACAAAAAGGAGGACTGCTGGATATGTATAAGAGGTTGGTGGCTGTGATGTTTCTTTTGGATTTTTTTACCTGGTTTCTCTTTTCTGTACTTAAAAAACAAGCAACAAAACTCAAAAAAAAAAAAAAGAATAAAAGACATACTCCAAGAAAAACGATGTATCTCCTGTGTTTAGGCCAGGTGTAATCTTGACATAATTTGCATAACTTCAAGTAAGAGATTTTTTTGTTACAATGATGTTCTTTGCTTTCAGGCTTTTCAAAATAAATCTTCCAAATGGGCATATTTTATACCAATTTTATAGCTGCCTATGAAAATAACAAACCACATGATTTTAGTTAATGTATCAAATAAAAAGGACTTAGCAAGAAAATAGTAGTTGACATGTATACTTCTCAGTCTTTGACAGCTTATTAGTTTGAGCAGGTGACTATTTTTAAGGATTGCTTTAGAGCATCCAGAGACATGTAAATATTAAAAATACTACTTAAACCAGGAGAACAGTCTTTAGGAAATAACTGAAAGCACACATGAACATACTGGTTCATAAAACTTAGTAATGCAAATGACAGTTGCCACACAGAAGGAACTGTAATCTCTGTCTACATTGACAAGTACCTGTGGTATCTATGTAATTCTATTTCTTACTATTTTAAGGAAATTTTAGCTCAGAAGTTGAATCATATATTATTTAGCAGTGTGTGAAGGTGGTCTGGAGCAATAGCTGTGGCTAGAAGAGTATATTCAGAGTTGCAGATGAAGTTTCTAATTGTCTTACAGAAAAGAGAAAACATTTGCTCTGCAGTTTAATCATTTAGAGTCCTAACTACACTAATATCACTGTAAATTAGTTAGGAGGTAACACCAATTTCAATGAAGATAGGAACACTCTTTCTACAGGAATGTCCCATTAGCTACTCTGATCTTAATCTGTTAGTAATAAGATTGACCTGGTAAGGAACGGCATTGATATTTAATAAAATGTCATGTCTGGACTTCAGCAAAAGAAAGTTAAGAATTTCTGTGTGAGGGTGATTGTATTATTGTTGGATGTTAAAGGGGATGAGAGTGAAAGTAAAGGTAAAATGTTATTCAGTACTGGCCTTTGAGCAAAATAATAGGATTGTTAATTCTCTGTGCTGCAGTTGCACGTGCTAATAATACTGTAGCAGGATGAGAGCTAAAGAAAGCTTGTTTGCTATGGACATCTGTTCGTTCTTCACTCTGAAAAAGAAACATTTATTGCAGACAGAATTACTGCCTGAAAATGCTTCTGTTTTCTGTTTAATATCATCCTACCTTCACTGCATCTCTGAGGTTGGTTTTTACAAGAACTCCATCAACTTGCCTCTCTATCTTTCCTTAAATTTTTCCAGATCTGCCTTTTCTGTGTTCTCAGATGACTAGTGAAAAAAACATCATAACTGAAAATCACAGTAGCCCTCATATGTGGACAGGTAGTAAAAGAATATAATTATGGAAAAGATAAATTAGGTCTCTGCATTGGTAGTTAGACTGTGTCTCTAAAAGAAAGAGCAAAAGCCCATGAGAGCAATGTGAACTAACTTGGTTCAAAACCCCAGTGTAGTCAAAGAAAGCTGTCATATAGGGCACAATTTATATATAAAGGGGGGTTCAGGGGAGTTAAAAATGGAGGCTATATGAATGATATTTCTTTTTCTAGCAAGTTTGATGGTAAATTTGAGTAGTATTCAGGAGGCCATGGCTATACAGTTACTTAAAATTTATTGTGTGCAGTAATCATTGCTGCACACAAGATGGCACAATGAATACAGCCATCAGTAGAGCAGGTCAGTAAAATGTGCAGAGATCCTTCCTTTGTTATTTACGGGGTCTTTGTTGTTGACTGGGATTGTTGTTCTTGCCAGCTAGGATTGCTCCAAGTATGTCTGCCCCAGGCTCAGTGCTGAATGCTTTTCTCTCCTTCTGAAGTAATTAATGGACACTTCCTAATGTCTTCAAAGCTTCTGAAAGCACTGCCACTGTTTCATTTTCGGTAGCTTCCTGTTTTGATGATGTTAAATATCTTCAAATACTTAGGTAGGTAGGGAGGCAAAATAATCATGTTAGTAGCAGTATGTCTGTAGTTAAATCTGTTTATAGCTGCATTCTTCAGGCTCCAATAACACAGTTGCCTAGCAACAATAATTAGCCTTCATCATTTCAGACCTGTAAAGAAACATTGTTTTATCTCGCTGGAAGTGTAGAAACAATGCTGAACCCTTTTACTGGGACAGATACAACCAGAGTTGTAAGCCATTAATGAGCACAAGCTATGTTAAATTTCTGACATTGCTGAATCTGAAGAATAGAAGTTTTGTTGCTGATGGTGACAGTTTTTCCTTGAGTGAGACAGTTTGTTCCTGTAGGCATTTCATTCCATGATGGTGATGGGCGGTAGGGAAACAATGACAACAACACTTCAGGGATAACTTAATTGGAAGGGAAACTGAAAACAATTCTGTGCACTAGCTGGTTCAATTTTGTCTCATTTTAAACCTGCCTGTGGTACTTTTACCCTCTAGCTAGGTTACACCATGTTCAATTTCTAGATTGAAGTCTTAAGCCAGGGCAAGTGGTGTGGCACTGTAGGATTGGCATCTCTGTGTAATAGGATACCTCTTGTGCTCTATACAATTGGGTGACTTAGGTTTCTGTTTTTGTGAAGTCATGCTGTTTGTTCCAATTATGCCTGCTGTTTGCTAGTGCACTCTTTAATTTGCTAACCTTTCCATTATTTTTGGAGGCAGGGGTGGTTGTAGAAATGCTGCTGCTCATATGCTTTTATATTCGGTTTTCTTCAGGATTTGTATATAATGTGACTCCCTACATGGAGTACCATCCAGGTGGTGAGGATGAACTAATGAAAGCAGCAGGAACTGATGGTACAGATCTCTTTGATCAGGTGAGAACTACTGGCAGCAAATGACACTTGCTTACCATACTTTGAAAAATGCATGTTTTGTGATTATTTTTAGGGTGTTTCAGTGCAAATGGTGATTTGAACTTCTTCAATCCTAAGGAAAGGCAGCAGGTCACTGCTTAAAATTACACGTGTTGGAAGAGACATGTCATTTAAACTTTGTATCAAAAGACACTAATGAAAATGTCACTTTGTTGTTAGAATTATGCTTCAATTAGACCCCTTTTTTGTAGGAGAAATAGCGATAAAACTAGCAATAATGCTACCACCTTCTTAATAAGTTGCTGCAATGGCTGCTGTTGTTGAAGAGGCCTATTTTTCCAAGAGCTTTCACTTTTTGAAGAAAGCTTGTATAATTCTTTGTCTATTTACTTGGCAGCTCTATTATCAGAAAAGATGCTGGAGCTTCTATTAACTTTAACTGGTGAACAAATCACAAGATGACAGTTGGTCTCTTATTTGTTTACTATTTCTTTAAATGTTTTTACAATACTTGAAAAATAAAGATTCTTTAGCATGGGTGTGCTTTCTGCAAGGGATCACAAGCTTGGTGCTGTAAAATGTGATTCACTGAGTTAGTATTTTTTAGAAACACATTCTGTGGATCTCCATTACTAGGTTTATCTGAGAAACTGGGAAAGAGCAGAAAAGAAATCTCCTCTGTTTCTGAAAGGAAATATGTTACCTCTTTACATGTTGTGCATCAGAGTATGTTATGCCTTCATCTGCAAGATGTTTTTAACATTGTAAATAAAGATGGATAATTCCACAAATTAGGTGCTGGTTTTAGGCATAATTCTTTGATTTCAAGAAATTTGTAGTAGCAAGTATGCAGTTTCAAGTTGTGGCTTGCAATTATGTTGCTGGGTCATTCTATGATGTCCTTGAAAAAAGGAGTCTTGACATCGGGAGTATTTGGGGAAGCTCCTGTAGTTAAGTTCAGATATATGCTTGCAACTTTTTAGTTTATCATGGGAATGGAAGCAGGTTTAGAGCCTGAAAATATGCTTTTCACTTTTATCGTTTCTGGCTTATGACTTTGCTGTTACTGGAGGTGTTTGTTTTCCCCGCTGCTTTAGCCTTCTGTTTCTGTCAGATAGTGGTCTTTTTTTAAGAGCTTGGTAGATTGCTAGTGTTCCCCAAATTTCTGGAAAATTAACTGTCATTCATAATCCTTCATTTCTTTCTGTTACCTGTATATGAAGAAACTACAACTTGTTGATGGGATTCTTTGTCTCATCTCCTTAGCTAGTCCAGTTTAAAGTTTTTATTTTAAATCTAGATACCATTCAAATTTGTCATGCAACACTTTGTTTCCTTTTCTCTTCTTGTGATGTTATCCTGGATGCCCTATCAGAATTCGCTTTTCTGCCATCCATTTCCTCTTCAAGTTCTCCAGTTCTGGTCTGTAAAGCTACTGCTTTTTCTTCACTTTATTTTACTTTCTAAAATAGGGAATTTTCAAATGATTCAGTGATAGTAGGACAGAAGCAAACAGAAATACGCCAGCTTGGTAGGAGGTGTGTGTTTGTCTTAACTTATTCTTTGTTTGTTTCCTTCATCCCTTTTCCCTTCACTTGTCTAAACAAGACTAATAAACATTGTGGTAATGACAAGGTCTTTATTCTTTTAGTTGTGTAGCATGCATCATAAAAATGCTGCTCTGAAATATATTCTGTAGCTCAAGGTTATGATGTTCAGATATTGCAAAGCATAAATGAGTAACTCAAACTATTGTTGCTTCTTTCATAATCCTATGGTTTCACTTAATGCCATGATATCTGTAATAGAAGTAAAAATAAGTACTGACTGATGTAATAGTGACTTATGTGTTTAAAAAATAATCTGCTAAATGAATTATATTAGTCAATATACAAAAATGAACTTTTCTATTTCAGAGCATAGAACAACATAGTAAGAATTCCAAATTTTATGAAAAAATATTTTCTTAATGTAGGTTCATCGCTGGGTCAATTATGAATCAATGCTGAAGGAATGTCTTGTTGGGAGAATGGCTGTCAAGCCTATTGCTGCTCCAAAAGGTGAGTTGTTTTAAGAATGAATATTGTCTATTATACTTTATTCCAAAATTATCTGGAAATTGTAAGAAATCCTAAATCACCTCATATTTATGAGGAGAGTCTCTATTCTTGCATAGAGTTGAAGGCTTTTGTATATATTAATTTTTTTACAGCAGATACCTGACGATGAAATTGTTGTATAGTTGAAGACTTGTCATGTACTGCTATATTTCTTCTTTTCAGTCATTAGAAAACAGCTGTGCATGTGTGTTACATGTCTGTGTGTATAGAAAAGACCTTTTACTTCCCTACCATCCCTCTTTTTTCTTCTGAACCCTGAGGAAAAACTGTCATAGGCAGCTCTCATCTTGAAATAAAAGTCAGTATTTTCAATCTGGTGATTTCAGCGCCTTACATACATCTAGCATGTTGCTTAAGTACTGAGATCTTTGTTCACTTCATGAGCAGTTACTCTTTCCAGAACGCTTTATTGGCTCCTTTAGTTTGAATTTACCTTGAGAAAATTTTGCTGATACAACAGACTCCTCTGAGCCAGGAGAACAAGAAATGAAGTATAGTCTTAGAATGTAGGTGATGGTTTCCAGAAACTTTAATCTTCAGTCTGTTTTTTGGTTTGTAGGCCACAGCCAAAATTTCCTATACCTGGGAAGCAGACACTGTTACTCAATACTGACCCTTAACAAAACTGCAGTGAAAATAATGAAAGGATTAATGATTACAACTATTTTTCTCCAATTCTGTGGCATACTTCAGTTCACAATTTTAGCTATCTTGTAGCTCTTCAGCTCCTGAAGAAGTGCACTGCGTCCTTCCTTAATGCTTAGATAACATCATCTTAACAGTTAGGTTGAGTTTGGTCTTTGTGTGAAGTAGAGTAGTATTTTATGTCTCCATGATGCTAGGTAGCTAATTACAGTGTGGAATTTTTAGGGTAGATGCTACAAAGTATGGAGAAACCTCAGCAGCATAGTTGCCTCACTGAGTTGAGGCATTACAGAGATGTTACTGCTACTTTGTCAACTGAGTTAGAAATTTAGAAATAAACATGAATTTTGTTGATTTTATTAATCTAACTTTTTTACAACTGGAAGGAATTCTTGTGACAGCCAGTCAGTAAAACATAGATACATCTTCACTCCTTCTGGCTCTGGCAGTCCATTTTCTGCTGTTCCCTTTTTATGCTTTGTTTGTTAATAGGACTATCTTTATCTTCTTTGCTGTAGTAAAATTTGCAGGATAAAGTTTGTCAACTATATAAAACCAGTTCTGTTGCCTGTGTCACTTTTAGCCATTTCAGACTTGAAAAAATGTAATTTTGTTAATAAAGAATCAAATTGATAACAGAACTACAGATTCATTTAGGTTGGAGAAGACCTCCAAGATTGAATCCATCCTTTGAACAGCCACCACCTTGTCATGTAGACCATGGACTGAGTGCCATGTCCAGTTATTTCTTGAACACTTCCAGGGATGGTGACTCCATCACCTCCCTGGGCAGCTTGATACAATACTTGACAGTGCTTTCAGGGAAGTTCTTCTGATCTCCAACCAGAACCTCCCCTGGTGCAGCCAAGTGGTCAACCCCCATCTGGCTATACCCTCCTTTCAGGGAGTTGTAGAGAGCAGTAAGGGCCCCCTCAGCTTCCTCTTCTCCAGGCTAAACACTCCCAGCTCCCTCAGCCACTCCTCACAGGATTTACCCTCTAGACTGTTCACCAGCTTTCTGGCCCTTTTCTGGAACACTCCAGCATGGGACTTGCTGAAATCCTTCACTGTAAGATTCTCAAGGTTTATTTCAGTTCCCAGGAGGTTATATATCCTCCTCCTTTGAATTATCAAAAAGTTCTTGATGTACTTCCCTATTATCCAGCACTAATTCTAGTCTTTTATCCTTCTAGAAGACCATATTCTGCAAAGTTTGCATTTCAGAATAGAAGAATAAATTACTAAATTAAGGTGCATGTCTTTGAATAGAGGATTAAATTTGCCCTATAAGTATAGAGGGAAGACAAGACTTCAAATTGTGGATTGCATTGCTTTATTTTTGTGACAGAGAGTGAATGTTCAGTAGTAGGACAAACATTGGTACTTGCTATTTGGTGCAATCTTACTACAGTGCAGGGAAGGCAGATGTAGGTTTGTTGGGGCATTGCTGGAAGATTTGTGGTTGTTTAGCTTAGAGTTGTTTTTTTTCCTGTGTTTTGGTGGTTTCTTGGGAGATGGTGCAATTTGCTTACTGAACTGCTTAAGGAAAATGAATTGGTTCTTGCACGCTCTAGGTTGTTGGGTTTTTCTCTGAGAAAGAAGAGTCTGTTGAAAATGCTGGCAATAGTGTTTTGTCAACTTGTATTTTGAGAATGCTGCCTCACGCTTTTAGTAGTGACTAAGAAGAAATTCTGAAGTGTCCCATCTTGATTACAGTGGATCTTTGCACTGAAACATGTAGGGTTTGTATTTGCTCAGAAGGCCAGTGCAGTACTCATGTATGTAAGAGGTGATTTCAGAATCTCCCTCAGCAAACCTGCATAGCATGAAACTGCTTGCTGTCCATTCAGGATGCTCAGCTGTAGACATTAGCACATTCTGAAGAGTTTTAATAATGCTGATGTTTCCAGAGACACTTGTTAGTGTATAGTAACATAGTCCCTATGTTACTTTAGTGGTTACTTGGGAGTCAGAATGCATATTGTATTATTGTTAATTCAACAAGATTGGACTTAGAACTGTGATGTCACCCAGGGAACAGAGGCAGGGCTCTGCCTTCACTGTGTCTCACATGGTCCTTAAAATTGCAGTGTTGATTTCTGTGTGGTGTGTTAAAGTGTAGTGAAATGAGAGTAGACTTCTAAATACAAAAAATTGTCTTTCATTAGATAGAAGTTTTTGTGAATACCTTGCCCATCCTGGTGTATAGTAGAATAAGCAGACAAATGTTGCCTCAACCAAAAATTTGTGGAGTATTTTCTTTTTACCTCAACTGAAAATGTGTGGGGTATTTTCTTTTACCTTACTGTGGCACAACATGAAAGCCTCTGATGAAGGCTGAAGAGCACTCAAGTAATTTTGCAATACCATATGGTAGGTGCTTTGCTCTAGGAGCCTTCCTTAGCTTCTGTCTAGCATTTTTCCTCTAACAGTGGCTGGTGTGATGCAGAGCACCGGGAAGGATATGGAAAAACAGGGAAGAAAAATTCCCATTTTGGTTTTCATAAAAGGGTGCAGGAATAACAGATCTGTTTTTCCTGCTTTGAGGGAAACAGTAAAGGTAAGAAGAAGCCCAAACTTGGCTCCCAGTAGAGAGAATATAAATTGGATCTTTCATATTAGGACATTCTGAGATGTGCAATGTAGAGAAGGGCAGAAATGGGGCCAGGTATATCCAGAGATTTCCTTTTCCCACAGATTCACTGTGAAGAGAAGGACATGAGGATGAGCACCTTAAAAATGAATTGACACCTGGTCTTTTTTTTTTTTTTTTTTTTTTCCTTCCTGCTAGAGTTGGTTGGCTTGGAATAGTTGTAGCATACTGTAGAATTATTGAAAAACTCAGATAATAACTTGAAAATAAAATCATTTGGCAGTGGGAGCTTATAGGAAGATTTTCTTTTTTTCTGTGTTCCTGCCAAGGATTTGGTTTAGTTTTCTAAGGATTGGGCTGGTCAGATTTGCAGTCCACTGTGTCATGTCGTGAGACACGTGTCATTGGAATTCTTAACAGATTCAGTGAACTTCTTAGCTATGAAGCTTATAAAAGATGATTTGTGATGTTGTTTTTTTTAAAGTGTAGGGTTCTGCCATTTCTTGTCCTTAAGTGCTGTGCAACTTTTGGCACTTGTACCAATTTTTTAATTAGACATAATTTTTTTGGAATGGTAATGAGTGCTGCATTTATTTGTTGCTTCTTGATGTCTGAAGCATCCTGGTCATTCCGTTAAGCCTTTTGGAAGGTTTATTTGGAGATCCTTTGGCTAATTTAGCATGATGTGGGCAAGTACTGTAACTTCTTAACCCTTGTGCTTGTTGTTTTTTCTTAGTGCTTGCAGAGATTTCTTCTACTGTGTCTGAAGACAAGAAACAGCTTAATGGTAAGTTTTCACCTGAAGCCAAGTGGGGAGTGAATCTCAAACTTATGTGAATATCATTGAACGAGCAGTATTTACCCACGCTTCTTTTTGCATTTGAATCCAGAACTGAGGCTGTAGTGATCTGTGGAAATTTCAGAAGGCAAAATCCTAACCAAGTACTTCGAATTCTGTGTTTGAAAGTATTGTAAAACTGCAGTAAAAGAGTGTAGACAAGGGAGGTATGGGATGGACAAGCACGGTCAGCTTGTCTGTGAGGTGCTGGGAAGATTTTCTGACAAAGTCTTTTCTATCTGGTCAGGTCTTCCACTTGTTTTGCTGGTTCCTTTTTTTTTTTTTTTTTAAAGTGCAAAATTTTGCATTTCCTTCTGAGCTTCATGAAGTTTTTGTCAGCCCATTTCTTCAGTCTCTCTGCATCCCTTAGTAACCTTAACTTTTCATGTTTTGCCTGTTTGCATGATTTGTTGTTGCTCTGACTGGGAGAGTGTGTGTCCTGTAGGTTGCTAGTGACTGTGTGAAACAATATCAGCATTCCGTGTTCCCTAGGGAGTGCTAACAGTAACTAGCCCCCAGCTGGACTTTGTATGCTGATCACACCTTTTGTGACTGGCAGTTCTACTCATTTTCTCTCTATGATTCAATCCACCTACCAAACCAAGCTCTATCCAATGTAGCTATGAAGATGGCATGAGAACCTTTATCACTAGCCTTGAGATTGTGGAAACCAGTCCTGTGATGCAGGGTTGTAATTCTGCTGTTCATCTGGTCACCTTAAATTCTTTATTTCATGCCTGCCATCAGCCTTTGGCTTCACCCACAGCTTTTCTTAGTTGTGATCACCATGACTAATAAAGCACTTTGCTTAATTGGTTCACTGATCACCTGAATCATCATCTTTTTATTGCAGCGTGAATCATTGTTTTCATGTAGCATCTTGCATCTAAAATCAGTATCTAAATAAATTGGTTTGCCAGAATGTTCTTTTTTGTTGTGGCTGTTCATATATTTCTCTGAACCTGTAAAAGCATATAGGAATAAGTAAGACCATGGATTCCTGTTTTCTGTGGAGGCCAAGCAGATCATGTGATGTGTCTTCAAGAAAGGCTTAGCTTTTGAGAAGGCTTTTATCGTTAGGTGATTGGTTTTCTTTTGCAGTGATCTGACTGCTCTGCCATTTAGCTTCCTTGGCAGCTGCAGATGGTGTGTATTTAGGAGTAATTAAGGATCAAAGAATAAGTAATTTAACTGAGTTTTTAATGCTTTGGGTTAATTCTCCCATATGGGTGATCAAATAGTTTTGACAGATTGGATTAGACCAGAGTAGCTCTCTTTGTTTTTATCTACTTCCCACGTGGTAGAGCCACTCAATTACTGTTTAAGCTTGTAGTCATACTACAAAACTTACTGGAGTTTAGAAGATAATAGTCTGGGTAATTGAGAATTCATGTGCTAATTATTTTATGCGTAGCCATTTCAGATTTGCAAGGTTTGCCTTTGAATGGGCTTGAAACCAACACTTACGAGCTGTTCAGTCTGAACTTCTTCCATCATCATTCTATCTAGCTTCTTTGTGTCAAAAATGATGCAGGATTGCTGTTGCTTTTATCTATCTCTGTCCTCAAGATTTTGCCAAATATATTCAATTTCTATTATGCCAGAGATTAGTACAACTGACATTTTGAAAGACTGACCAACTGTTGCTTCCCAGCAAAGGCTGTTTCACACTGTTTCATGCAGTCAAATAGTTAAAGTGAGTATCTGAATTCTTTGAAAATTCTTAGCAAAGTGCTGTGTAGAAGGATTAGGGCTGATATCTCTGCTTAATCGACTGACATGAAATTTTATTTGTGAATTAGGTTAGATCAGACATCTCAAATTGAATTTATTCACATGAATTGTATAAACACAGTTCTGTTAAAGGAAAGTCACTCAGATAACATTTTTGCCTTTCTGTGCTTCACTGTCACCAAGTGTAAAAGCACAAGTTAATAACTGATGAAACTGAATACAACACAGGTACTGTGGTGTGTGGAACTCAAGTTCTGAAGTAGACCCCCATGTTCTAGGACCTTGCTCACCAAGAGAGTGCTGAATAAAAACTAAATACCTTAAATGTACATAGTCTGGCTACTGTGGAAATAAAGCCACCAAATATTGTTCGAGGACACTTAAAACATTCAGTTAAAAAATGCAAAACCACAAACCCCTAACATACCTGAGTATTATTTATATTAAGCAAGCATCCCGGCAGATATTTTAATGACTCTCTGCTCTCTGCAGGTGTGCTTCCTGAGAAGAAAGTACTGGCTTCTTCTTCTAAAGATTTAAGTCCAAGGTAAGCCTTTGTCTGTCATTGTCTGTTAAGCATTCTGTTTAAGAGTTCTGTGCAATTCTTAGTAAAAACAAGGCAAGATCTTCCATGGTTAGCTCTTGAAATTTCAATTAAATAGGTGTGTGTCATTACTGTCCTTGTATAAATAGGAAAGTTGAAGTTCAGGTTTAAACAGCTTGCCAGAGGTCATATGGGCAGATGATCGTTCTTTGCTTGTTCTGTTGATTCCTAAATCTTGTGCTGCCTTGATTGTATATAAATGTATGGCTTGTATTTGCAGGCTCCTCAGCTTTGTTTCTTGAGAAAACTCATGGAAAATGATTCCAACAGGACTGATTACTTTCTTGACTTCAACTAATTTGTCTGTAAACAATTGCCGTGCCTTGAAAAAGGGTATAATTTCAACCTGAAATATATTAAGATATGATAGCTGCATTATGTAAAGCAAAGGAGGCCCTAAAAGCTCAGTGTGATATGCCTGCTGTTATCACTGAGGCATCATTTTATTCCATGATGCCTTTGGCCCTCAGGGTGCAGTTTCTTACTTGGCATCAAAATCCCCTGGGAGTGTGTGTTCTCTGGGCTAGTTATATGCAGTCGTAAAATACTGTGGCTTGTAAACAATTGGAATGAGGTTTGTTTTCTGAAGTGGTCTCCAAACCTTGCTGCCTTTCTTCCCACATGTGTCTGGAAAATTCTGACATATGACTGGAAAATGTGCAGCCTAAAATATGTTGACTATCGGAAGTGTTTGCACCTCCCTTTGTGCCTGTTTTTCTGGTCCAGGAGTAGATGGAAGTTACTTCCTGGGAAGTGCAAGGCCATGCAAATAATTAGCATTTGAAGGCTTTTTTTTTTTTCCCTTACTTTAGCCTGGATTTATTACAAGGTTTGGACTTGGGAACATAGGAATGAATGCAAAAACTTGATATATGGAGATGAAGGGAACTGTGTTTTTGTGGTATGTGCATCAAATCTTTAACTCTTGGAAGCCACCCTGCCTATTTAATGCTTCTGTCTGGACTCAAGATTTTAATCATCTGTAAGCAAGGTTCATATACTATAAAGAGAATGCATGTGCTTTTTAAGTAAAACTAATGCCCTACAATTTTAGCTACAGTGTACTGACTATCAGGATACATAATTAGATAGTTATTTTAGTAGTTTTGTCAAAATTACTGACATTGGACTTAGTCTTCAAAAGTAGTAATATATTTGGCTTGTAGATTTGTTAAACAAGCTCTGTTTGAAGGCTTGGGGTTAAATATGTTTTGATATGCTCCAAGTATATATTTTTTTCCTTATTTTTTGTTTTACAGTTATGACTGGTTCCAAACAGATAGTTTGATCAAAATTGTCATATATACTAAGCAGAAGGTAAGCATATTTCATGAAGGAGGAATTATAAGATCCAGTTGTGATCTAGCTTGAATTCTAGGAGAACTTTATAAAAATTGGTTATATTTTTTTTTTCCCCTTGGCTATGAAAGAACATGAATGCAGAGTTGGTGATAGTTGACTGTCAAGACAAACAATTACGGGGAGAGATCATCATGGATGACCACTCATATCTTGTAGAAGTTGGTAGGTACTGTCATTTTGCAGTTGAAAGTACTGAATTTTCATTCTACTATATTAAAACCCGCTCATCAGACCATAAGCATTTTGCATGTACCAATTAATATTTTATTCCTCTATTATTAGAGATGGTTAAAGTTCCTTGATATAAAGGGATTATGTTGTTTATCAACTCACATCTTCATTTGTTTAGTATGCACTAAATTTCTTACATGTGGACTAAAATGCAATAAGAAATTGATTTTAAAGTAGTGTAAAATCTTTCTTCAACTGTGTTTTTTACAATTATTACAAAGCCATCATTCACAAGGGCAAGTACAGTAATTTCAGATGGGTGGATTTACATGAGCCATTGTTATAAGTAATGGGAGAAATAATGCCTTCATGCATGAGGCTTGCAGAACTCATGAGTTAAATTTGAAGACCAAATAAACATGTGTAACTTTTTAGGGTTATTAGTTCACTCAGTATTCCTTGACTTATATTTTCTGTATATATGATGGCTGGAATGTAATTTTGTTATTTCTTAACACAGAGTTTGTTTGTATTTATTTCAGATTTGGATCATGCAGTTTCAGAAGATGTGGCTGGTAATTTGTCTCTTGCAGCAGTTCTGTGTCTCTTCTAGGATAGTCCAGTCAGGAGCTGAACTTCTGTGATCCTTGTTGATCCCTTCCAACTCATGATACTTTCAATTTCTTTTTCTGACTCATCAGATACTTTACAGTTTTGCTTACCATCAGGTCCTGAGACAGTCAGTCAAACCAAGCCAGAACATTATTTTTTTTTTTAATTGTGGCATTTGGGCCTGTGAGAGTAGTAAGTTAATAGTGCTTATCCTTCTAAATATGACTAATTGTTAAAATAGCTGGAAGTTAGTTCTGTTGTGTATTTGTAAACTGTTCTTTGCTTAGACTGGGATTTTCTTGGATTTAATTGTTAATTCAAATGACCTTGAAAAGAAAGTAGTAAGTAGTGATAACCACCAGTTTCCAGTACATGAGGACTCTGGGTTCATGAGCATTTTTCTTGACCAGAATGGTCTGTGAAGTTGTCCTAGTTCCACAATTTATTTAGCAAATAATGTGTATTAATTATGCATATGCAGTTAGTGCTTGTTTTAGCTGCACTCTAAAACATTATCGAGAGAGCCTGGAAGTACCTTTAATTAGATATTCTAACTTAAAAAATAAGTCATGAGAAATGAGTAATTGTTCTGAATTTCATTGTAGTTGATGTGTGAAATAATTTTTTGTATGGAGTATAACTAGAAGTAACAATATGAAATCTTTTCTCTTTTAGTAAATATTGCTGAAAAAATAGGGAAAGTAGAGATCATCTTAAATAAAAAGGATAACATCCATTGGAAAATGCTGGGACAGCCTCGGGAGGGTCATAATACATTTATCAAACGCACAGTCAGAGGTAAGCAATTTCATGGCCATCTACCAGCTGTTTTAAGACTTCTTGAAGCTTATTAGTCATATTTGGTTTTTTTCCAGGATTTTATTTTAATGTTGTTGTACCTTCATTTCTTTCACAATTGTCTGATCTTGATAGCTATTCAGGAATTTTCCTAGAAAGGGTTTGACTTGGAGGAGGGTTTTTTGCTTTGCTTTAGTTTCTTGGTTTTTGTCCCTCAATGGAGTTGAAGTTGAACCTAATATTGGAAGGTGAACACTGCCCAAGTGTTGTTCTGTTTCATGGTTACCTGTGTGCTTAATGACCTCTCTGTCCATATGAAAACCTCAGTGGACCCTGAGGAGAGAGGGCATGGACATGTGTCAATCATTATGGGAGTAACTGGAGTGAAAAGTCAAAAACCTTCACTTCCAATTGTTACTGTAGGTACAGTAACATTTGTCAGTGCTGTAACATTGTTCCAGTACACTGCATCTTTGTAACTTGAGTTCAGGTTAAATAAGGGACTTAAGTCATGTATAGGTATGTCCTGGTTTATTCACCCCAGGACAAGGTATTAAAGCCAGCTCTGAACAAGCTGATGTGTCTGCAAGAAGCAGTAAATGTTATATATGGATTCATTTTGTGATAATAATAATACTGTGAACTTGTTATAGCACCGAAGTATATTATAGTGATCAGTGTGGGTTTGGGGTTTTTTTGAGCTAAATTAAAAATTTCTGCACCATTACATTGTGTAATATAACCACACTCCTGATGTTATTGCACCTAGTTTCTCAAAAGCCCTCTTGGTCCTCTGTCTAATAATGCTCAAAAATTGACTTTTAGATTATAGTCTGTCTTATTATGTGTGAAAGCAAAGCTGTGCATTTTTAAGAGCTAATGAAATGTTGCTCATAATGTTGTACACCTCTTACTGGGCCTCAGTTATGCTGTGTGGGCCTTTAAAGTCAAGAAATTAATGTGGTTTGAAAAGGAAGACTGCATAAAAGCACATCTCTCTAGCTACCTTTAGTTTATTTGGAATGTAATTTTCCTTTTGAGAGTTTCAGAAACTGTTGAGTCATCCACTTGAAAATTAGATTTTTTTGATATAATCTTCTGTATCTAAGGGGTTACAGCCTGATCTAATGTGTTGTCTGCTGTCTGTTGCTCACTTTCTCCCTCCTTATTGTGTATTGTGATTGTATAAAACAGAAAGAGAAGATAATCTGAAAGAACAAGAGATATAGAATAGAATGGCTTTATAGATCCCATGCAAATGAGGAAGGTGTGGATAGCTAGATATGATTGACAAAATATATATTGAGCATTAGTAACCAATGCTTTCTAGATAATTACTTTGTTTTTTTTTTCTAAGAAGTCAATCTCCAACATAACATTTCTCCAACATAACATGTCATGCAGAGCAGTACTATAGGTATTGGATAACTTTATTACATATCATTGACTGAGTTCACATCAGCTTAAATTGAATATGCAGAAAACTTAAGGGGCTTGCTACCTTTGAGTTTCTTCAAATCCCTGATTACAAAAGTAAGGAATCTAACAAATAAATTTATATCTATAGCTTTTTAATCCCTACTTCAGAAACTCCTATTCTGCAGCTTTTAAATTTTAAAATCTTTAAATTTAAAATTGAGTATGCAAGAGAGTTTGTAGAAGAAGAATGCTCAGGCGTACATGTGTTTCCTTCATTTGAACCTGTGCTTTTACCTCAACCATAAAATCTGCATGTTGGAAGCTTCTGTTCACTTGGTTTAGTCTTAAATAGCCATTTTCCTTTTCTGCTTAAAACTGTCCTCCCTTATTCTAAATTGCAGAGTTTTCATTTTTGTTTCCACTCTTTGGAGCAAAATAATGTCACGGGTGAAGAAACCCATATCTTGTGCAGTGTGAACAAAGAAATAATAATGAATTGCTAAAAAATAACTTTTAAAAAGCTGTTTTATACCTTTATATCTGGTATTTCTATGCAGCACTCAATACACTGTAGCACTGATGTGTTGTCCAAATATTCTGATTTTTTTCACTTGAATCTTCCTCTGCTTACTGTCATCATTACTGTCTATTTCTAATGAGTATGAAAGTCTTATATGAAGACAGTGCAACTGATAATTTCCACTTCTGAAAATTTGGGAACAGAATAGAAAGTAGCTGTGTTATCTTGTTACACTTTTCTTAAAAAAAAATTATTCAATTTTTTGTGTATTACTAGTTCTTTTGGTAACTTATGCTTTCTAATAAAAGTAATCATTTTACCCAAAATGATTCCAGTTTGGTGGCAAGAAATAATTCTGTGAATAAGAAAAATTACTCATGATCATCTCCTTTAACGAAGGTTCCTATAAGTTTTCTGGAGCTTTCTCTTCTCCAGGTTGAACAACCCCTACTCTCTCAGTGTATCTTCATAGGAGAGGTGCTCCAGCCCTCTGTTCATCTTTGTGGCCCTTTTCTGGACTTGCTCCAGCAGGTCCACATTCTTCTTATGCTGATGACCCCAGAGCTGAACATGGTACCCTAGGTGAGGTCTCTGAAGAACAAAATAGAAGTGCAGGGTCACTTCCCTCAGCCTGCTGGGGTGGCTGTGGGTAGTCTGTTGAGGAGTGGGGTGTAGTGCTGGCTTATGTTTTGCTTTCATTCCACCAGCTGGTTTTGATCTGCTTCTGTGTACCCACACTGTGCTTGTATGGGGAGCTCAGTGCAGGTGCAATGTAGTACAAATGGTTCTGATAGTTTTTGGTGCTTTTCTACTTATTCCCAGTCAATAACTTAGAGACACTTAAAATGATATTATACATGAGTCCTTAGTCCAGAATTATAAAAATTATAAGTAATTACACAAGAAGCATCTATTTATTGTTTTTTTATAAATATATAGTGAAATACACACATTTGTCTCTCTTATTGAAAGATATATAATAAAAGAATGACAGATTGAGACTTAAATAACAAGAAAAATGTTTTTAGGACTGTTCTTCAGGAAATGCAAGTTGGTTTCTAAGACAGAAGTTACCCATGACACCAAACTCTTCTGCCTAATGTTGCCTAAGGGCACACATCTCTGTGTTCCCACAGGACAACATGTTTACCTCAAACAAATTATTGCAGGTAAGAGAAATTGAGAGTGTAGTAATGGATTTATTTACATGAATCCTTTTCATAGAGTTGGGAGAATGCTTAATAATGACTGGATTAATATTGATGGAAAGCTAATTATTGAGATGGCTGGCATTTATTTGTGACCTTACTGTCTCTACTGTCAACTGTCTCTTTAAAAACTCCAAAGCAGTGCTGTTCATCTGTGAAGTGTGGAAAGCTTATTGGATATGTCTTATGTATCATTAGTCAGTTCCTTTTAGTTTGTAGCTTTTTTGAAATGAGGAGGGTACTGTTGCAATTTTTTTTTTGTCTGAGGGATTTATAGTAGTCATGGCAACACTGCTTTGCACTCCAGTTGCGAGATATTAACGATAACATGAGGTTATGAGAGGAACGTGTCTTGAAAAGCACATGTGCTTTTCTTCAATGTGCTATTCTTCAAAATTTTGTAAAAGCTTAAAAAAAGAAAACAGAAGGTCAAAGAAACAGCCAATTTACTATTTTAAAGGGTACTTCTTAAAATTTGGATATTAATAGTTATACTGGTCACTGTACTTGGATTGCAGTATACATGGTAGAGACTTCTCAGAAGAATTTTTAAACATCCATTAATTGAGAACTGTTTTGACCTCCTCCTTCTCCTTTCCTAATTCTTTACTAATGTCCAGCTCTTGAGATCTTACTATCATTAGACAATAGCTTTTTGAAATTATACCACAAGAAATTATAATTGTGCAGTATTAAAAAACTGCTGTTTAAATTTAGAATAAATCAAGCTGTGGTACTTGAAAATTAATGAAAATGTTCAGATTTTCATGTTCTTTGGGGATGACTCAAGATCTTTTCATCCTGTGTCCTTAGTTGCTAAGTAGCATGGAAATAACGTACTCAAGATTTTAACTGGAAGGAGAAGTCTTCCAATCCTATAATAAAAACTGGTGTAGTGGAAAGTAATAACTCACATGAAAGCATGAGATGGTTTTATTTTTATGGTATATACAGGTTATTTAATTATTCTTTGTTTGTTTTGGTATTTATTTGTATTATCTGGATGTAGAATACTTTACATATTATTTGAATTATATTTCTGTCTGCTCTCTAGGGACAGAGGTAGTAAAACCATACACACCTGTGTTGCCTTTTTTACCACTGGATTTCCAAGAACCACCTCGCCATGATAGTGTGCATATATATTTAATGATTAAAATTTATTCCCATGGACTGTTCACACAGGCACTTGACCACCTACAAATTGGTAAATATATGTTGGGGGATTGTCTTCGGTTTTGCTACAATTACATTATTTTTAAAGATTCACTGTCTTGAGTATTGTGACATTCTTATTGTTTACCTACTTAAACAGGACTTATTTAAAACTCCTTTTAAACTTTATTCTCCATTCCTTGAATCTAAGGGCTTGTCCTTACTGTAACTAGGCACTCTCCTGAGTGATGTGTGTGAACATATAGTTGATGGCTTTGATGTCATATGCTCTGAGAACAACTTCTTGTACTTTTGCATAAAGAAAATCTGTTTTATGGGACTTAGGATGCACTTCCTTTTCCGTTTCAGATACGGAGGTAGATTTTTAACACCGGGTTTGCAAATGTTTGTGTACTCATATGGTGTGTAATCCATCATGACAAAACATTTTATTTGTACATCTCTTCTTTTAACAAGAATGATCCTTATGTGAAGTGTATATTACCTTTATGAAAGAAACTCTAATATTATAAAGATGAAGGCAATATGAAATGGCTTTTAAAAAATCAGAATTTGGATTAGCTTCATTTCATCAAATTAATGTTTATTTTTAATTTTTTAAATAAAGGAGACTATATTTCTGTCAGCAATCCTGAAGGCAACTTCAAGAAGTCTCAAGTTCAAACTTCAGAAGATCTCCTCTTATTAGCAGGAGGCACAGGTTTCACACCAATGGTTAAGCTGCTGAATTTTGCTCTAACTGAAGTTAGCTGTCTCAGGTATGTGGACTTCTTTACACACAAGCTTCAGTGTTAATAAAACAATTAACAAAATAAAATGGTGTGAAAGCATTTTTCTTCAACTTACACCAAAAAGCGGCGTGCTTTAGGTAAGAGTCTGTCAGAAGCTGAGGCAACTTCCACTTTTTGATTATTGTCTACAATCGATGTAGTGGACTGATTTGCATTTTGAATTTTAGTTGTGGTACAAATGAGCTCACTGAGTAGAAACTTTGAGGGCTTTTTTTGTAATTACCTTCACATTTAAGTGTCTTTTTTTAGTATGGAAATATTACAGTGTAGATATTGGGTTTTGGACTGAGGAGTGCTGCAGCAGTTTACTTATGGCTTCTCTCTGATACATTAGAATAGTTTTCCATAACTAAGTTTTCCCTGCTAAACAGCAGTAACACATTGTTTCGAGATGAGTTCCAGTTTTCCCAGAAGATTTATATATCACTTACATAAGTACAGCATTAAGTATATTCAAATTCATGAAAAGATGTGTATTGCATATGCATTCTGTACTCTGTAAAATCTACAGAAGAAAGCATTGCTTGTTCTTGGTCAAGGGAGCAGGTTATGTCCTTCAGAACTGCAGAACTAGTACTTCTGCTTTTGAAACAGAGAGATTAATCGTACACTAATCTTTATACTAAAGCTACAAAGGATGACATAGAGTGCAAAAGTTTGTTTCTAAAAAAACCCTAAATCTGGATACTAGTCTTATATTGTTATATTTCAGCAGTTCCATATAATCCTGTTTTGTAAGCAGAGAGACTGTACTGTTTAGCTTTTCCAAAATATCCTGTATTGTAAGTAGCAGACAAAAAGTGGCTGACTGGCTTTGTGAATCCAAAGGATGAGTCTCTCATCTGACAAAGTGCTTGGGGACACAGTTTTAGCTCTTCTCAGCACAATTTCCTGTGGGAACTCAGTGTTAGTTTAGGGTACAGCAGCATCTGTTTCCTTACTAGTCAAAGTAAACGAATTTTTCCATCTTGCTGTGTAGGCAGGTTAGGTGCTGGAGTGACTTGAACTGAGACACAGGTGCTATTTATATGTAGACTCTTCAAGACTTTGTTTTTCTGACTGTTCTAGGCAGTTTGGTTCCTCAATTTATTCAATTTATTTTTTGGGAAAGTACTACTAGAGTGTATTTAATACATGTATGTTTATCTGTATGAGATACATATGTGTGTGTATGTGTATATATATGAACAGTGTAAGTATTGATTTGCATAAAATTATCTTACTTAGCAAAGTAACTAGCCCTAAGCTTGGATTGAATATGCTAGGACACAAAATGCAGAAAGCTGAGGAATAATCTGTACAATGATAGACTTGTCACCTGAGGGTGCCAAAGCAATCTCTGTCTGGAGTGCTGGGCAAGTGTTACTGAACCTCTGGGGCTGCACTGTGAACAATGGAGAATCTTCAGCTTCCCAGGGCAACATTTGCTGTAATGGGCTTGGATAATTGGATTTTCATTCTTACTGTCTAGACAAAGTCTGGCTATTATCTTGTAAGTCTATTCCTTGCCTACTGTAAAGGGGCAAAACAATTTGTTCCCTTCATAGCTGCACTATCCTTTTGTGCATCAAGTCACGATGCTCTTTCTTCAGCCTTGTTTCCTCTCTTACAGGCCAAATTGTATTTGGCCAAAGTGTTAACTATAAAAGGATATTGGTCCTCTACTCTTTCAGATGAGGGTTTTTTAGCTCCTTTTACTGGTTGTGTATAATTGCAGTCAGGTGGGTACGTTTCTTAAAGAATACTGAAGCACAAAAGCACTAAACACTATGTAGGGGGCTAATGCTCTTCTCAAGTATAGGATGCTTGTAAATCTATTCTTGATTCTCCTTGATAGTTGTCTCTTTGTCTCCAGCTTTTCATTCAGAAATTACCACTCTGGTCTTGTATTCACTTTTGATATAGTATCCCACTCTCATTGTCATTCTTGTATGGAAGGTAATTTTTTAACTTTCTATCTCCTCTTCTTCCTCCCTGTTAAAATCCTTTTAAGGGTCTCTGACTTCTCTTTCTGAACAGTCTTCCATAAAACCTTGCATACCAGTGTTTATAGTTCATTAAAATCTACATCCCTTGAAGTAGTTTCCAGTGTGTTAGGTTCACTCTCCTTACAAAGGGCTGATGAAGCTTCTTATTTATCTAAATTTTTGTCATCATTCTGTCATCCAGCTTTTCTTTACTGGTGGGGATCATATCTAAATTCCCACTTCTTCATTTTAGTTGTGTTCTCCCTTTATCTAGCAAGACTGTGACCAGTTTATTCCAAGTTTGCTTTTTTCTGTTCTTTATAGTGCTGAGTACTGAGCAGAACTGCAGCAGATACATTTGTGTATCCTGGGGAGAACCAGTAAGGGAGTCTCAAAACATTATTCTCCAAATAACCAGTTTCTACTTTTGGGGTCAATGAACAAAATGCATGGCTTTCCTATGCACTTTTTATTGACTTCCCCCCACCTGAGTAACACTTGATGCTGTGGTGCACCATGCAACCATTTAGAGTACTACTTCAGTGTAGTGGGCTTTATTTTCTGTGTTTTCAGAGAAGTGGGCCCTGGGAAGCATGTAAAGATTCTGGCACATTCTAGTTTCTGAATAAGATAATTTTAGTATTTAAAGGTGTAGCATAGCTGATTTGGGGCTGTTTTGTCTATACCAGGCAAGTTTTCCAAAGCTTGTTCAGTGTGTCTTGTTTTAACTTAAAATGCCTCTTAAGAAAACAAAAAAATATAAGTAAAAGGTTTCTGTATGATGCATTAAGTTCTGATTCTTTAACAGAACCAATCTGCAGTTAATTTTAATTTTTGTTTTGTTTTTTTTAAGGACAGTGAAGCTGATCTTCTTCAACAAAACTGAGGATGACATACTCTGGAGAAGCCAACTAGAGCAATTAGCTCTTAAAGATGAAAGGTAATTAAAAGTCTTGTGGAGAACAACTTGTAACATCTCTGTGTACAGAACAAGTCTTGGGGCTTAGATTAATTGTACAGCTTGGCACAAGGACAGATTCTGATTCTGCAAGAATTCTTAGCTAAGAATATAATGAGACCTAGGGAGTGGAAGGAGATCCATTGCTCACAGATGCGTAGTGGAGGCTATGTTGTTAAGTTCTGTAGGTCCCATGGGAAGCCAGGGATTTGATTTACAATGTTTAATAGATAGTTATTGGAGATGATTTTGAAAACTGAGAAACTTCTTGATGCAAAAGAAAATTTGCCTTAGCCTTAATAATAGAATTGCACAAAATGGAGCACAGAAGAGAGGAGAATGTACCCCAGGAGAAACATTCTGAATTTAGAGAGGTCTTACAAAAATCTTTTTGGTGTCGCTGGTTATAAAAATGTTTATGTAGAAATTCAGAGTTTAAATAGGATCATTTCTTTAATTTTTTCTTAATAATTGTTCCATTTTGCCCTCAATTACAGTGTAATTGCAGATTAAAATGCAAGTAGGGCACATGTAATGTCAACTTAATTCAGCAGGCCATAGTTTTGTCAGGAGACAAAGGATTATCAGGTTACCTTTTAATTTCAGTTTCCTTGATGTTACCACTAGATAAATTGTCACTGCTTCGATTTTATGTGATAAAAATATGTTTTGTTTATGGTTAATTATTAGTTGAATTCTTCCTCAGTAGAAACCACTTGTTCCTTCACAACAAAGTGAAGTGAAAAATCAGTACTGTTTCATACCTTAGTGATGTCTGGCACATTCAAAGCTTTTTCGTCTAGACATTGTGCAAATTTACAGTAAAATCCTGGTCTCCCTTTCCACAGGATCCTCAGATATAGAAGTGCTTGGTTTTCAGTCAGTTACTATTCTGTTGGTGAGTTTTTGAAACCAACATTCAGAAATGAGTATTTTCTCATTACTGAAATGGTACTGACATTTTCAGGAGTCTGGCCAATCTCACTGCTTGTGTATTGAGCTACACCAACATTTGTGTGTAAGTGACTATTGGAGCAGTAAAATCTGTGCTTAAGTATCTTAATTGGTGCCAGCTGGGTTTTTTTTTTTTGTAAGGGGAAATAGAAAGCTAGAATTTTTAACATTGAAAGATTTAGTTAAATAAATATGCAATATTGGAGGTGATTTGACTGACTTGATCTGTAGGAATGACTAAATATCTGTGAGATATGATATTGCAGTGGGGAGCTGACCAGAGCAGGAAGATAATCATCAATGTCTTGGGCACTAGCATTTTGCATAGCAAATTTCTAATCAGAGGTAATATTTATGAAATATTCTTCTGCTTACCAGGTTTGAGGTTCAATTCATTCTTTCACAACCATCAAAAGACTGGGTGGGTAAACAAGGGAAGATTTCTTCATGTCTTCTCTCTGAGTTTGTGAAAAGGAGCAGAAGAGACTCCAAAGTGCTTATCTGCATCTGTGGTCCAGCACCTTTTACAGAACAAGGAGTACAGTGAGTATTTTTAATAATGAACTGGAAAATGAGAATTTTTTTTAAAATTTTATCACCTAATCAGCTGTAGAGTTTCAGATTTGGTAGTCTTTAAAAAACTGCCTTACGTTGTCTGCTTTGTAAGAAAACTTTCAAAATTAAACAGAAAAGGGAATTAAACCGCCTTGCACCATACTTGAGGAGTATATTTATATTTATGTGTAGCTAAGTAAGTATCAGCAATATGTAAGTTGCATTAGTTAAAGTAAGTTGTCCAGAACTTTCATTTAATTTCATTTTTAAAAGCATCTCTTTACCAGTAACAGTTTTTCCCAAGGTTTTAAATGCTGCTTTTAATTTTATGTTTATAGAAAAGTTGGAATAATAGGAAATAAGCTTTCTTTTTTGGTGTTAGCTTGACAAATTAGGCTACAGAAGTAAAATTCAAAGCAGTTGTTCTATCAGAAGCATTTTTCTCAATTTTTTTTTAAATTAATGCATTTATTTGTGTCTGTACCTAGTATTTTCTTATTTTTTATGCATGTTTTAAGATAAAAGGTCCTCTAAATTTCTCTTGCCCAGCTTCAAAATATTGAACCAATGTGATGTCATTTGCATTTCTGCAGTCTTACTGAAGTCAACGTGTGTTGGCCAATAATTATGCTGCCTCTTGAGAAATCTGAGATAATTCAGATGATATCTGTATTTATATTTAGAAATTGTTTTCATTACCCAAAAAGTTCATGTAGTATATCTGAGCTCCTGGGCATTGATTGTTTTCTAAATGTACTTGCAGAGGTAAAGTTGAATGTAGATGTCTGAGTAAAAGCAAAGAAGTGGTGCTGAAGGTATGCTTCATCTGTATCTGTGTTGGATTTTCAGTCCCAAATATTAATATTGCCAACTTGATTTCTTTCTTTCAGATATCTGAAGAATCTTGGATACTCCCAAGAAGAGATACATGCTTTTACTGCATAAACCCATAGGAGGATATCAATGTTTGTTTGTATAATTCAGTGTTATTTATTTATCTTCATGAATTTAAATAAGTGAGAAACAATTTTGTAAGACTTGAAATTTCACTCTTGGTACCAAACTGTTTCTTGGAAGAAGCATATCTTTGAAAAAGGTTTTATACTGTGTTTTATCTTCTTTTTGTAAATATTTTTGCTAATATTTAAGTTATCCAGGGTATTAATTTATTGGTGAGGCAAGCAAAAAAGTATAGTCTACATTATGTCAGTTATTTCATGTTGTTGGTTCATGAGAATTCTTGACTTTACAACAAGCTCTGATTAAGGTTTTGACTTGATAATGCTTATTATTTCTTACTGTAAAATGTCCAAAGAGCAATACTGTCTGAAATTAAATATTGCACTGTAACTCAGGTAATTGGTCATTCAAAAATTTTCCTTTTCATCTGATGTCTCTATTTGACTTGAAAGTGATCCAGATACATTTTTGGTTTTGTAAACAAGGAAGAATAATACCTTTGGTAAAATATAAAATCTACATCAAATTAAAAAAAAATAATTTTACATTACTTCATGTATTTCTTTAATTTTTTTCATTAAATATTATAAAGAAAGGTTTCCACAATCTTAGTACTCCAGATGAGAACTCAAAACAGAGCCATGGAGTCTTGGTCTACCACAAAACTTCCCATGTGACCGATGTTACACATGCCTTGTTATGACACGATCTGAAGATAAAAACATGACAGCACAGATACCAGGGTCAGGACCACAGAAATACCTAAAAATATTTGACAGGTTGCACTAGTATTAAATGAGGTTATTTCCATGGGTGTGTTTTTTTTATGCTCCATTATTAAAATGTATTATCATGAGGCAGTAACCTGCAGCCTAATGGTGTTTTGGAGAAAAAAAACAGTAGAGCAGCTACTTTCTTATATGTTTTCATGTTTTGTGTGACATCTAGTACTGTTTATGTCTTCCTGTTGTGTTGAATGGATATTTCTTCCTCCTAAGAAGCAAGACTTGTAGTTGTGGCATTAATACATTCAAGAAAAATGTCTTAATGATACCCTTTAAAAAGGCTAAAATTGCTATCTGACCGTGACCGGCTATGCTTAACTGAACTGTCATCTCTTCAGTCCCCTCCTCAGTTTATTTGACTTGACGTTAGAAAAGGATCTGGTTCTCACTTGTTGCCCACAGATCACAAATCATTTCGGAAGACTGAAACTCTAGTTGAGGGCAGTCATAATTTGTATCTATAGTGCAGTTAAGTGGAGGGACACTTTTCAAAATTCCAAAGTGAATTTTCTGCTAAGATAAGCGGAGCTGCATGTTTTCCCCAGGACTGGCTCTTAAAACCTTAGGCACTTTGAGGATTTTTCAGATATAATTTAGGATTAATTGTCATACTTCTAAAAGCCTCAGATTTCCATTGGAGTTTTGAATAATCTGTTACTACTAATAATAGGTCTTTGTGTGAGTAACTCAGCAACAAGTGGTCATTTGACATTACTTCAACTTGCTGATCTAGATATGATACAATTTGTTAAAAATGTCAGAAGTGTATCTTTTAAATTTTGCTTATATTGTTCTAATACTTGAAAGACTTGTTGCAGATCACAAATTTTATAATACATTCTTGAAGTGATAGCCACCAGGCTGAGCATCTAAAATCAAGTGTGCATATTTTTTGAAGGCAGCAATGCTCATGGTCTGCCTGTTTGCATTAGGAATCAAATCAGCATTAATACAGCTGTTAAAATGGAGCTGCTGGCAGTTTTGTTTTTTCTTTTTTTGTAATTAACCTTTATTGCTAGCAACGTGGTCAAACGGGCACAAAATGTTTTGACTGGAAAGCAGCCCAGTGCAAAAGGACTTGGGGGTGCTGGTTGATAGTTAGCTGAACGTGAACCAACAGTGCCCAGGTGGCCAAGAAGGCCAGCGATGCCCTGGCCTGGCCAGCAATGGTGTGGCCAGCAGGACCAGGAGAGTGATTGTGGCCCTGTTCTCAGCACTGGTCAGGCTGCATCCTAAGTTCTGTGTCCACTTCTGGGCCCCTTTACTACAAGGATGACATTGAGGTGCTGGACCAAGTCTAAAAGAAGTTAAGAAGGCTCATGAACTGTCTGGGAGTGACTCTGACTATGAGGAACTATGAGTCTGACTCTGACTATGAGGAACAGCTGAGGAGGGAGCTGGGTTGTTTGCTTGGAGAGGAGGCTCAGACATTCTCACTCTACAACTGCCTGAAAGGAGGCTGCAGCCAAGTGGGGGTTGGCCTCTTCTCCCAGGTAACAAGTGACAGGACAAGAGGACATAATCTCTTTCACCAGAGGAGGTGCTGGTTGGACATCAGGAAGAATTTCTTTAAGGGCTGTCAGGTACTGGAATGGGCTGCTCAGGGAGGTGGTGGAGTTACCATTCAATAGAATGTTCAAGGAACACCTGGACATGGCACTTGCTGCCATGGTCTAGTTGACAAGGTGATTGTTCAAAGGTTGGATTTGATGATCTTAGAGGTCTCTTCCAACCTAAATGATTCTATGATTCCTGAAAGTTTTCTGTATCCATGTGTGAGCTGGTGTTGATAAGGTATATCACACAGCAAATTGCCATGACTTAAAAAACAAGCAAGAGAAACAAAGTACTTAAAATACTCAGTTGAGTGCTTCCAGTACATTTCTTCGATACAGTGTTCTGTGGTTAGATGAATATCAAAATGTTTTACACACAAAACAATTACCCCTACTTATATAAGCACTACCTTACAGCTTTTTTTTCCTTTGTAGGATGATATTGAAAGTACCATGACTGCTTTTGTCAAGTTGAGATACTTTGCCACTCTTTCATTCTTTGCATTATTACATGTTTAAAAGGTGCAAGGGGTGAAATGACAGGAAAATAAATCATAAAAAAGTTTTAAACACCTTACAGTTCAGTGGGTTTTTGTGTCTATTTGATCTCTCCAGAGCAGGATTTAGGTTGAAAATGAGTTGTCTAAAATGAGCTGGCTGTGGCAGAGATACATTTATGAGCTCTCTTAGTAATCACTAGAATTCAAATCAGCACAGCCTGTGCCGGTGTTGAGAGTTGGTTCAGCTGTGCTGGATGTGGGATTAAGGGTGCTGTGGGCCATTTGAGATGTTCACTGGCAAGCCAGACCTATTAACAGCATCTTTTTTGTGTGTCTGTTTTTTCTTCCGTTTATACATGTCAGACAATGTTTTCTATACATCTGAAGCCCAGTATGGTGCCTAAATCTGTCTCAATATCTAGGTTTTTGATCACTAGAGATGTAAAGAAATAGAACTGTGAGAGCAGGTTTAAGTTTTTTGGTGATTTTGTTTTTTAACTGTCTTCAGGTTTTTCCTGTATATGTTTGTTTAAAAATATATCTGCACTCCTAAAGAATTAATACTTCCATGATTTTCCTGATCATACTTTAAATGGTCCTATTAAAATAGCAGTTTTCACACAAACAGAGGAAAGAATAAGCTTACTTCATTTTATATTCTACAGATATAAAAATCTACTTGGAGAAGGGATTATGTAATTTTCCTAGGCTAGTCTGGAAAAATTTAGTTTGACAAAAACCGAAACTGTAAAACCACAGCCCTTTCATTATATCTTGAGCAGATATTATAAATATTAAAGCTGCCAATCACTAAGGGGAAAAAAATCATATGTTTACAGAGTTGCCTAGAGTGTGTGATCAGTGGCTTAACACTAGTCAGAGTCCAAATTTACTTAGTTCTTGGCCAGGGTAAATATTCCGTGGTTGTCTCTCTATACAGTCCTATGAGTATGCAGTACAGATTCTCTTAGTTAAGTACCTGCCTTTCATTCTTTGATTTTCCTGTTATTGGATAAATTTCATGTTTTCCCAGCTGAAATTTCAGGGCAGGCCTGCATGTTTAGTTCCCATGGAAACATATTACTGGCTTCACACGAACTGGGCATGCTGAGTTGCTGTGGCAACACAGGTAAAAAATTGTAGTAGGTGTAGAAAAGTGTTAAGTCCATGCTAGCTGCTAAACCTGAGCATCTGCCAGGAGCTGCTGCTGGATGCCCCAGAAGGGAGTGAGGAGCTCCCTAGGATGCAGATCCTGGTCTTAAACCTTAAAATGGCAGGATGTTCTTCCCAACTTACATATCTTTCTGCATTTAACCATGAGAAATGCACTTACCTTGTGTGCTTTGTAACTTCTCAAGGGATTTATTGATTCTGTTATTGATGATTGGGCACATAGAGGTCAAAGAGGAATGTCTGGGTTTTGTCACGAGCTTGCAAACATTTCTAACTGAAATATACCTGCTCACAGTCCTGTCTTTGCGTGTGCAGGTAGAAAACGTGATCCTGTTGGAACTATTTTCTCCTATTTGAAATAATAAATCAATTTAAAATGCAGTGAGATGAGGTAAGGAAGATCTACTTACTGTGGATTTTAAAGCAAATAAAAAAAGAAGATTGAATCAACTTGCAAAAGGTACAAAGATGGAGGCAGAAGATGGAGGGCTGGGAAGGCATTTGAGAATATGTGGTAGAAGAATAAGTGACTTCAAGCTGCTCAAATTGTAGTCATAGAAGAGCAGCTTTTACCAGTGTCTCTAAAGACAGGTATATTTGTTAAAGCACGGTATGCTATGACCTTTCTACTCACTCAGAAGTGGTTCCTAGCTTATTCCCAGTAAAGGGGAAAAAAGTTGCTAAACCAATTGACCAGCTCAGGATGGGGAGAAGGTCTCACCTTGTTTCCCTTTTGGTCTTGTTGATCTCTTTGAACTGTGTCCTGCTTGATCAACTGAAGGTCAGTGCAGAAGACAAAGTAAAATTTTGAGCATCAGCTCCATTGAAGATGAAGACAATTTCAGAGAAGAGTTACCTGCTTCAGTTAAAATTGTGGAAACTACACCCGGAATGGTGTTCATGGAAAAGCCAGGGAGGTCCTGCTCTAATTCATATTCCAAAATAGCAATATGAGTTACATGAGGGATATGAGTGATAGGTCTAAATGTCAGCTGCTTGGGAGGTGAAAGAAATGATGTCCAGGAAGGTTATAATTTAGGGTCTTCTGCCAAAAACTTCCATGTCTTGAATGGTCTGTTCATATGTCAATGCTCTAAGTGGTGAAAGGCCTTCACAGATGCTTTCACACCAGGGGAAGGAGAGAGAAAGGAGGGTGTATACTATGTAAGAATTAAATTTTGTGGGGAGCCATCTCCTACCTCCACAGCAGGCTGAGCCACTTTTGGAAAGTGCATCCAGTGCCTCTGGTAGCTTGGACTGTTTGGAGCAATGGAGTTTAGTTTGCTCCTAAATAACACAGTCAGTGTGAGTTTTAAGTAAGGTCATCTTCACCTGCTGCCTCCCTGTAGCCATTCAACAAGATGAATGAATAAAAGCAGATTCTTTATGGTGGCATCTTTTAAGTCTAAAAAGGTGTTTAAATAACCATCTTAAATCTATCTGTTCTCCTTTCAACATTCTGCATCATTCCTCACAGGAAAAATAAGTTCATTAACACGAATTCTGTACAGTAGTCAAATGAACATTGTTCTTTTT